ATGTATAAGGGACAGAGGGTAATGTTGTTTTGCTCTTGAGTTGGCTGACCTGGTGTCACCTGACATTGAAGTGAACAACAACAGCCATACACTTGCCGTACTTGTTATATACCATAATGTGTAATGAAAATCTATGTGTGAAAGGCAGGACTGTTTTACACCTTTTCAGTATTTGGAAAGATGTATTGAAGAGCTTAGTGGAAAAACTGAGAATTGTTTTGAACTTTCATATGAATCCATTTTAGCTGCTCGGATTACTGCCAGTCACTTTTCATGACAACTTTTCCTCTGTTTTTGTTCTTTTTTTTTCTTGTATTTCTCAGCACGCTCCATTTCCCCAAAGCTCTACATAAATTTACTTTTTTTAGCAGGTGTTTTATGATCCCTGGGTTTGTCAGCGCTTGTCAGGAGTGTTTGGAAACTTCAGTTAAGTCCCCAAGCATTTTAGAAAGCTTAGTGTTGTATGCCTAAATCACTAAACACTTGTCAGAGGATTTAACATGGGGTTAAAAGTCAGATGAATACTTAATTGTCATGCATAAGGCAGGTCTGAAGATTTCTAAGCCCTCATCTTGTGTTGCCGTTGTCATGGAAGTCGAGGTGTTTGCTGGCCTTTCTTTGGACTAAACCAACTCCAGGATTGTGTTCGACTGAGTTGTGGAGTAAACATCACTGGCAAGAGCCAATATTCCATTAGGACACACACAGATTTCGTCTGTCGCTTGTTCTTTGAACTCAAATCATTATTATATCCTTTCCTTGTGCGCCGCTCTGATGGTGAGTGTTTGTGTGTGTGTACATTAGGGTTGTGCTGATACAATCGTATATGGATTTCAATGATGAGATTCTAATTGTTTGGTTATATATCTATTAATTTATTCCAAAAATAAATTAAAATGCAATTCACACACTATCAAAAGTTAGAGGTTGCGAGATTTGTTTAAAGGGGTGGTTGATTATGATTTCATTTTTCTAACAGTATACTTTACTGAGAGTGAAAGTTCTCCCCTTATTAGACATTCTCTGGTTCCAGCCAGTAAAGTGCCATAGATATCCATAATAAAGGCTAGATGTCTTACGGCGGAGTCTCTATCGTCATCACCGTCGGCCATCTTGTCACAGGCAAGCTTTCTGGCGGGCTCTGTGGTACCTGATGTAAGATGAGTGATCAACACGAACACAAATACTCTTATCTCGTTGAAATCTTGGTGGATTTACAAACGGTTTGGTTTCTTACAAACGTTATTAACGTGGCTATAATTCTGGATGATTATTTATTTATTTATACACTTATTATTCATAAGTATGCAGTGTCATAACTACATCTCTGACGTTTATAACAAACCAAACCGTTTGAAAATCGGTAGAAAATTGAGTAAGTTATGGTTATTTAAAAAGTATATGCACCATTAAAACACAATGTTACGAGTGATCGAGACATCTAGCCTTTATTATGGATATCTATGGTTAGTGCGCGTGCAACGGAAGGGAGGGGGAGGGGACGGGATGAGGAGGCAGGGTTGAGCTAGCCTCAGTTTTGTTTGCCAATACTTTGAACGTCAACAAGAAGTGACTTCACCCAACATCGCTTAGAGTACCTTTAATAAAAAATACAGTAAAAACATTAATATTGTGAACTATTATTATTACAATTTAAAATAACCATTTTCTATTTTAATATATTTTAAAATGTCATTTATTCCTGTGATGCAAAGCTGAATTTTCAGCATCATTACTCCAGTCTTCAGTGTAACATGATCCTTCAGAAATTATTCTAATGTTTTCTGCTCAAGAAACATTTCTTATTAGATTTTTTTTCACAATTCTTTGATGAATAAAAAGTTTAAAAGAACAAAAAAAAATTTTTTATAGTCTTTAAAATTTGAAATATATTTCATTTGAAATATTTATTTGAAATATAGCCTAAAACTTTTGTAACATTATAAATGTCTTTGAGAGTGTTCATTGATCTGAATTAAAATGATCCTTAATAAGTACAATCTTCTTTTGTTATTTGTTAGAAATGGTTTAGTTCTGGTTGTAAAATGTCATATGGTACAGCTCCCCCCAAAACAATGGTATTTATGAATAATTTAATAATATTAAAAAAAAAAACTTTTTCACTCGAAAATAATGATTAAGATGTTTACACTACATGTGTTTAAGCTAAGGTACTTTTTATTTTATGTATACGCAACACAACGTTACATTTTTAAGAGTCATTCAATTAAAAAAATTCATTAAAGGGCACCTATTATGGATTTTTGAAAATGACCTTTCATGTAGTGTGTAACATAGCTCTAGGTGAATGAAAACATCCTGCAAAGTTTTAAATCTGAAAGTGCACCGTATATAAAGTTATTGTCTTTCAAAAGTAAGAGTCGACTGAGTCAATGAATTGAATTGTTTTTCAAACGAGCCATAAGCCGTTTCGTTGTGACGTCAAGACGAAACATTAGCATATTGCACGTCCACGAGCATGTGAAGAATCAGTGGTTAAAATTCATCTTTACCACGATACCACAGCAGTATAATCCTAAACTTTTGCTGTGTTCCCTTTATTTTACTGACGACTGCTTCTCAAATCTCGGAGTTAAATGCAGGATTCGCAAACCGCTTGCTCTTGAAAGATGGTGTGCAAAAAACGTTGTGTTGATTATGGCTTATGGCTTATGAAAACCTTAGAATATTGTGAAAAGGTTTTCATAGCTGTAAGCCATAATCATCAAAATTATAACAAAAAAAGGCTTGAAATATTTCACTTTGCATGTAATGAGTCTATATAATATATTAGTCTCACCTTTTAAGTTGAATTACTGAAATAAATTAACTTTTGCACGATATTAATTTTTTCCGAGTTTCACCTGTATTAGAAAAAATACTCTGTAAATAAATTAGTACAAGTAAAATAATCGGTTTGTTGATGGACATGTACTTGTTAATGCTGATGGTTAGGAATTACGGTTGCAACATCTTATAATGTACCTCAAACTGAGTAGTGTATCACTGAGAAACGTCCTGCTCGAGTCGTCCTTGCGATGGAGGTTCGGGTTAAATAGTTCTTCCAATATTTCATCATCGGACTCGCGCTCGCATTGAAATGGTAAACTCGACGACGTCATTGTTTGTTACTGTCTTTAGTTTACGGTGTTGGAAGCCTCAGGACAAGCAGAGCTGACGTTGTTATGGCAATGGGCGTTTTTGCGGCAAACCAATCACAACAGACTGAGCTGTCTGGCCAATCAGAGCAGAGTAGCTCGCGGAAAGGAGGGATTTAGAGAGATTGATTCATCTGACGAATCATTGAAAATGTGGTGATGTGCAAATGTATATTATGAAGAAATGAAACAGTTTTTTGACCTTTGATGCATGTAAACCTGTTGTAGGAGACTCCACAACAACATTAGGAAACTTTAAAATAGCATAATAGGGGCACTTTAAAAGTAATTTTTTTCTTGAAAATGATATGATAGTTTTTCAAAAGCCATTTGAAACTACTATGAATACAAAGAGTCTACAAATATGTAAACACTGACTTCAGTGGGAGAGAAGGACTTACAAGATTACTCTTGTCAAACAACTGGCAGCAGTGTGCTGCTCTGTGTACTGTGAGTTTATATAGGGTTTGTGTGCGTGTGTATGAGGGAAATAAAGAGAACCTAAAAGGCAGAGGAATGTGGTTACACCATTTTAGGAGCTGCTTATCAGAGTAGGCCATTTTGTCATTGTTTTAATATTTACAATTGTAATCTAGTGTTACATCAAGTTAGGACATGACTGTAGAGACGAGTTAACACTTAAAGGCATATTACAATTGAAGTACTGACAGCATCTGTCAATTTCCACAGAAGATAATCAGGCAATAATTCTTCAGTTGAAAGAGTTTGCATTTACATTAGAAGTCTAACAAGTTTCAGTACCACTCCTCACCTGTTTCCCAAGTATACACTTATTCTAAATAACAGTATAACAGTTTTGCAAAAATAACGAATTTATTTTTTCCCCAAAACACTCCCCCATCTTCCATTGGTTAAACAAACTGATAGTTCCTCTCCAAACTCATGGCAATAGTTAAGCCAGTGTTCTTGTGCGGGGCTGATCGGGGTGGTTAAACAAATTGATTGAATGTGTTGATAGTGCCTCAGTGTTTACACTTTTATGGAAAAATCTACCTACATATAACTTTCTTATAACTCTCACTGCAAAATAAGCTGGGATAAAAGTAAACATGACACACTTTAGCTTTAAACATTTACACATGTTATCAATGCGACTGATGTGGAAGAATCTGTGCAAAGTTAAATAAAACCTTTCAGCTCTATTAAAAAAATGCCTGGTTATTTTCACATGAAATCCACAAAAGGATACCAGGAAGAGACATGAAGATGTATTGAATTTTTTATTAGTTTCACATGGCTAAACCCCACTCGCAGGAATCACATTAACCCACCTAGAAAAGTTGTCTCATTTCATAAGGACGATTTAAACAAATTTACAGAACAAACAAAATAAATTGCACTGAATAATTTGAGCTTTTATGTATAAGAAATGTACATAGTTTTACATATTTCCCTTTAAAGCCTCTGGTTATGTTGCCTGCAAGTGCTCCATGTAAATGTGTCTTGTGTTAATTTTTAAAAACTGATGTCATCATTCTTTGTATTTGTATCTTTGTATATGTGGTATTCAACAGCAGATAACAGATTCTGTCCACTAACATTCAATTATAATTGTAAACTAGGAATATTCCTTGAGCCTGTGGAATTATTCATTTAAATGTGTATGCTTGCAGTCATAATTTAATAAACATAATTTATTTATTATTATTGCTGATAATAATCAATATTTTCATTTTGATAAATGCGTTTTTTTAAATCCTATCAAATTAAATGTACAGCATTCTTATTTTAGCATCCTTTCGTTTGCATTACTTAAAGTGGAAAAAAACATTAATAATAAAATTAATATAAGCTTAATGTAAGCTGTCTCTCTCTCCACAGTGTGTCCATCCTCATGCAAGCACCGTGCCTGCACTAAAGACAACCAGTGCTGCCACGACCAGTGCCTGGGCGGCTGCTTGGACCCCAACTCGTCGCGCAAATGCGTGGCCTGCCGCAACTACATGCACAATAACATCTGCGTTGAAAAGTGCCCACCTGGTTTCTACACCTATAAGGGCTGGCGCTGCGTCAACTTCAGCTTTTGCCAGGAGCTCCACAACAAGTGCAAGCAGGGCAAAGGTGACTGCCACGAATACGTCATCCATGATGGTGCCTGCATCCCAGAGTGCCCTTCTGGGTACACCACTGTAAACTCCACTACGTAAGTAACCCACTACTTATATGCTCTCCACTCAATGAACAGGCACAAATACTAGCGCACACATCCCCAAGTGTCCTAAAGGGTACTTCAAATGCTTCATGTGTGCGTCAGGACCCACATAAGCCAAATCTTTTGTGTATGAAGTTTGACCCAAAGGATGCCTGGGTCATTAGACCACTCTGTGCCTCATTTAGTCTTTGAACTGGATGAAGTAGACCAACTAGTCGCTTGGATTTTCCTCTTGTTTGTATTTACTGGTAAAAAAATATGATTTTGATGCTTTGTATATACTCAAACAGCACAGAGCAACATATTCATATGAGCAACAGGTTGTTCATATGAAGTGATTGGTTGTCCATCCTTGCTGACAAAAACTGCTTAATTCAGCCTGGTTTTCTTGTCTTAGCTGGTTTAAACTGGTCTAGCTGGTCTCCCAACCTGAAAAGTACCCAAAATCCTTTTAAAACCAGCAGGCCAGACAAGTTTGACTAGGCTGAAGGCCTTTTTATACAAAGTTCTTTTTTGGTGGTCGCTTGGAAAAAAGTTCGAAATACCTTTGCAGGGGTATACTGTTTGCGAAAATCCAGAAGTGATGAATATGTAAATATGATAATATTTTCTTACAATAACAAAAGAAACAACAAAAATTACAGCGGAGAGAAAACAGCAATTCATTAAGAAAGCATCTTATTCATGGAACAGGGACAATAAGTGAAGAGGGTCATTTAGTGAGTGTGTGTGTCAGAAAGGGAGGATTGTATGTTAATGAGGAAGTGTGTGAGTTTTAAAGCAGCGCTGACCTAGTGTGAGGCTTGGCAGTGCTGTTTGTGCACATTTAAAAAAGTCTGAGCAGAAAGAGGACTACGACCGACTACTACTCTCTGTTTTACAGAGCTTTTCAGAACACAGTTTGTTTTGTTTGTTTGTTTGTAGTGGAAATGTACGATGACCAATGTCTCATAGCTTAATCTCTATGCAGAAGGATGGGTGATTTGGTCACATGAACGTTGGGTTTTTTCTTTTCCTTAAAATGATCAGTCTGATTTCCAGACATCTCTTTGGTCTAGCTGTGGTCAGACACTAGCAAAAACCCTCAAAGAAAACAGTGGAGCATGCAATCAAAATGAGATATTTTGATACAAGATTTAAAGTGTGCAAGGTGATATGAAAAGCAGCAGACAGGGAAAAATAAACTACTGTTCAAGAGTTTGGGGTTGGTAAAAAAATTCAAAAACAACAATTTTTTTTTTGAAAGCAGTCTTATGCTCACCAGGGGTGCATTTATTTAAAAAAAAATACAGCATTTTTTTTTTAACTTTAAAATGTAATTTATTCCTATGATTGCAAAGCTGAATTTTGCTGTCACTTTTGATCAATTGAATGCTTCTTTGCTGAATAAGGTATTGAAAAATATCTTACTGACCCCAAACGTTTGAAACTTTCGGTGTATATGTCCATTTTATTCTTTAAGAGTCCTCAAAAACAATATTGGGCACTGGTAAAACATTTATTATAATATTATGAAATATTAGTAATTATGCATGTTGTTATTTTGTCAATATATATAATTTGGAATAGCTGTCAATTGAAAAGTATGTTTTTTCTCCATAGAGTGTGAAGTTACGGAATCTGCCTGAATTTATTAACTTGCCGCCTCAGTCTCCGTGAACCGAAGCACATCATAAAAATGAACCGATACTCAGCGTATACTTGCCTCACAGACATTAGAAATACATATATAAAAAGCTTGAAATGTCTACTTTTAAACAAACTATTTCAAAACAAAAAGAAATACTCTCTGCTTATGACATCCGGCGAGTCAGCATCGTCAACTTTGCAGCCGACACTGACACAGAAAACACTAGTTTATTAATAAATAATTAACTTCTCCTTGCTATTATTTCCGACACATTCATAATCATTACTTTTGCCAATGCTTTGCAGCAAGCTTTATGCTTGCGCTTGAGCATGGAATAGGCTATGTATTACGTCTATATATTAAACGCTCATTATGGTTTAGTATTCTCTTCAGTATATATTCAAGTAATTCAATTAATGTAAACGTGCAATAAGTCGACAAATGGCTTAAATGCACGACTCTTAGTCGACCTGAAAAATCTTTTGTTGTGGGCAGCCCTACTACTAATCGTTTTTGGAGCTTGAAAGTTTGAATCGCCATCCTGTTTGTGTTTCTTGGAATAAAAAAATAATAATATGTGGTTGAAGCAGAAATAAGGTGAGTAAAGGATGACAGAGCTGACCCTGTAATGCATGTTCTGCCAGATAGGATACTTCTATTTGCTGTTCCTTTTTTCTATCACTCTTTCTCATGATACTCTTGCTTCCCCCTTGCCAGTATGACCCCTGGGCTGGGCAGTTTGGGTGCACTGTGGGACAGCAGACACACAAATCACAGAGGCTGGACAGACAACAGTGCAGTGGTCCAACCTCACACCCCGTGCTGCCGCCCTTGGTTACAGTCTCTGCACGTTAACCGCGCGCATTGAGATATCAGGAGTTTCGACATCCATGTCCTCATTGGCTTGTCTCTATCTGTCTGTCAGATGCATAGACAGGGAGCGCCGTCTGGCTACTGACAGATAAACGACTCTGAGTTGAATCCTTGCCGCAGGGAGACACGACATACTGGACTCTCTGATATGTCTGCAATAAGGATTTCACCCACGCACCAGCTTTCCTTCAGATTAGCTGGATAAAGCGCAGCACATTCCGTCCTTTTTGGCGGGTACCAAAAAAGAGTAACAAGGTGCAAAACACAGCGAAAGCCCATAAGGGAAATTACTTGAGCTTTGCCCGATCGGTGGTTTGTGCACATTCTTGACACTGCTTCAGATCTGGTATTATGTTGTGACACTAGTATGATTGTTCAGACTGTGAAAATCACTCCTCCATATCTTTTGTTTTGCTTGTGGATTCACACGTTATTAAAGTTGTCATACAAATATGCGTAGCAAAGTTTCACAGGAAACTGTGGCGCAGAAAGCATCCTGCACAGAGGACAAACAGTCCCTCAGTCAGGCGCAACACTTCTACAAAAACAATCAGTGATTAAGTTGTGTCTCTGGCACGTCTGAGTGAATGTCTCATTCATCCTTGATTGCACCCTCGGCCTGCCCTGCAAGGTCATCCGCGCCCCCGCTCCCACCGAAACAGCGCTGGCACTTTGCGCAACAGGATTCATGTCCTTGACACAAACAATCAGTTATTGTCTTAATGCTACATATTTGCCTTGATGTCAACGAGAATAGAAACGCTCCATCATATCTACATTTCTTTGTGTCCGTTTACAGCACGTACGAATGAATGACTTTTTGTTTGTCATGTGGCTTTGTGTACATGTGACTGTGTTCTGTGCCGCAGGTTGAACTGCACCCCTTGCGCTGGCCTTTGTCCCAAAGTGTGCATGGGGCTGAAGACAGTAGACTCAGTCACTTCGGCACAGGCTCTGAGAGGATGCACAGTGATCAACGGCAGTTTGGTCATCAACATCCGCGGAGGGAGTAAGAACAATACAATTTCTCCACTTTGTGCAGCATAGAAGGGAATCTTTAGTGTAGAGCTCTCTGGAATTCATGGTTCTGATTGGTTAATCAGCATTCTGCAAATGTTTTATATAATGACGACTAAACTTTATAATTGGCTGTTGTCCGTGGCAACCATTCTCCTATACTGTTAGATTCAGGTCCCCATCTGTGTTCTGATCACTGTGTTCTGTTGGTGCATTTACCTTCTAGTTATATAATAATAATAAAAACAATTATTATTATTTATTTGTCAGTCATTCAGGAGTATAATAATATAAAAAATAATTAGTAAAATAAATAAAAAAATATCATAAATAACTCTATTTTGCATTGTGACTGCATTACCACCTTGGGTGTGTGTTCACTTCCAATAATTCAATTTAATCAATAACAGAAACCTATAAAATGTTTACAGAGTAGCCTTATTGTACTTCATTGTACATTTTAATAGTGTGCAGACTTTCTTAAATTCAGATTTTAAACTTGCTCTTCTTTCCACCTCTCCCTGTTAGATAACATAGCCGCAGAGCTGGAAGCTAACCTGGGGCAGCTGGAGGAGATCACCGGCTACCTGACAGTGCGACACTCATATGCCCTAGTCTCTCTATCTTTCCTTCGCAAGCTTCGAATAATCCATGGAGAGACGCAGGAAGTCGGGTATGAGTCTTCTTCATAGGATGTCAAGGTTTTCCTTGGTTTTCCAAGGTTTTCCAAACTGTTGGCTTTATCCATTTGCGTTGTCAGGTCTTGCTTGTCAACCATAATGATACCATGTCGTCTTTCTATTCCTTCCTCTTCCTTTGTCCTTAATTGTGTGCTGTTTTGTTTCCCATCAGGAATTATTCATTCTATGCTCTCGATAACCAGAACCTGCGTCAGCTGTGGGACTGGACCAAACACAACCTGTCCATCCAGCAAGGTCGCATGTTTTTCCATCATAACTCCAAACTCTGCATGTCAGAGATCCGGAAGATGGAGGAGGTGACTGGCACTAAGAACCGGCAAACAAAGAATGACATTGTCTCAAAGACCAATGGAGATCAGGCTTCATGTGAGGAGGACATAGCTTTGCATTTCCTTTATGCTCATGTGCTCTTTTTTTTTTTTAATAAATCTGAACGCATTGTTGTTGGTGTTTGACCAGGTGAGAGCCAGGTTTTGAAGTTCACACAGATTCGCACACTTTCAGACAAGATCATAATTAAATGGGAACCTTTCTGGCCGCCAGATTTTCGAGACCTTCTGGGATTCATGGTTTTATACAAAGAGGCGTAAGTGACTCAACTTTTTTTTTTTTAAATGGACCTAAAAGGTGCACTATGAGGATTTTCATAAAAAATAAAGTAACGACTCATACAAAAATAATGCATCTCATAATTACTGAAGTGTGCGGTGGTGTTTGTGTCTACAGAGACACATTTCCTTCTTGAGTTCCTGTGCTCGAGACATTTTTGAGCTGCAACCTTTGGCCAGTGGGTGTGTCGCCCCAGCCAATAATTTATCTATTAGCGTAACTGTTCTTTCATATGTACCAAAAAAATGCTATTTATGCATGATAAATACAATATTTGAAATAAGCTCATTGCTCATCTTTCCGCTGGTATTCGCTTGAGTCGGTTGGGCTGCGTATCCAACTGATAAATCATGTCAGGGCAGAGTACTTGTGCTTCTGGCGGTGCTCAAACGAGGGGCCAAGTTTGAATGTTGTGTTTAGAAACAGTAACTGAAAATCCTGTATGGTGCACCCATAATCAAGGTAGACAGCATATAATGTGTTGTGAATGAAATTGAGACTGTGACGGATAGAAGTACCATCCGAAATCAAGAGCATTTTGTCCTCTGGAAACTTCAGTAAACACTATATTTTATGTTTTGTCGACTTAATGATACACAGTACACCAGGTTATACGAACTATCCCTCACAGCCTCGTTTTCATTTTCACCATTTTAACAATGGTGTCTAGCTCAATCTAATGAAGTGATTTCTGTGTTAACATTTCTCTCTGCTTCTCAAGGCCATTTAAGAATGTAACTGAGTTCGATGGTCAGGATGCATGTGGCTCTAACAGCTGGGTCATAGCAGATGTGGACCCTCCACCTCGCGCCACAGAGGGAAAAGAACAGCAGGAGCCCGGCTACCTCATCCTCCCTCTGAAGCCCTGGACACAGTACGCCATCATGGTCAAAACCCAGCTCTCCGCTTCTGATGAACACCAGGTCCACGGAGCAAAGAGCGAAATCATCTATGTCCGCACCAATGCTACCAGTAAGAGCTTCAGATGCGACTGATTCATTTAGAAATTTAGAAAGTTGGGATGACCAGTTTTTTGTATGCCCTTGTTCAGAACATCCATTTTCTATTTGAAGACCTTTCACTTTACAGCATTTGTATTCATGATCTCCTTACCAAGCCTGTTTAAAACTAAATGTAGTCATTTCTCTAGTCCTTTCTTTAAGTCGATTTCAGTAGCAGTGGTAATCTTGCAGCCTTGGTATGGGAGAGGAATAAAAGAGGTCAAAGGCTGGTAAAATAGGCCACTGGTGACTTTCAGTGGTGTGAAATCATTAAGCAGTGTGCAGCATCATGCCAGGCCGTGATTTAGGAAAAAAAAAAAAAGTGGTTTGCTTTCAGTGCAGCTAGGTGTCTGTCTGATTTCCTTTTGAGCTTGTTTTGTCTTTCCTTCCTGATAAACCACATAACCATTCACTAAGCTAAAAAACATTGTTTCAGCAGCTGGTTGGCAAGAGCTGAAAGCAGTGCTTCAGGGGTTTTCTCTCTTTTTTGTCTTTCTGGTTTGGCAAACGGTTGGGTTCGCACACTGTGACATCGATGGTGCCCCTCTACTTCCTTTTTAGGAGGAAGCTGTCGTTATTCTTCTTGTCTCATCGGTGACCTAGTCTGACAATGTGGTCTAACCAGAATAGAGTTTTGTTAAGAGTCTACTGTTCTACTTGTCTACCTTTTTGGCTTTGTTCTTATTTAAAATCATTCTTGTTTTTTCCATTTACTAATGGGTGAGTTTTTTGTTGTTGTTGTTGTTTTCAGAACCCTCCGTGCCCCTGGACCCCATATCCTCGTCAAATTCCTCATCTCAGATCATTCTGAAGTGGAAGCCCCCTAACGATCCAAACGGAAACATCACACACTACTTAGTCTTCTGCCAGCAGCAACCAGAGGCTAGCGAGCTCTACAAGTTTGATTACTGTCAGAAAGGTTAGAAAACATACATGAACATATGTATATAAAACATACACACTACCGTTCAAAAGTTTGGGGTTGGTAAGAATCTGAATTTTATCTATAAAAAGCAGAACAAAATCGAATCCTTGTGTTTCTGTTGTTCAGGAATGAAGCTACCCACCAGAGCCCCCACACAAGTGGACAACGAAGAGGAACAGAAGTGGAACCAAACCGAGGAGCAGGGCCAAGATAGCCGCTGCTGCGCTTGCCCCAAAACGGAGAAACAGCTGAAGAAAGAGGCGGAGGAGTCAGAGTACCGCAAAACCTTTGAGAACTACCTCCATAATGAAGTCTTTGAGCTCAGGTAAATACCACGGTTCCTCATTTAACTAGTGTACATTAGAACTGCAAACACTAATCATATAATCGGTAATGAAAATAAAATTAGTATGAAAAAAAGATACATTTTTACTATTTTTGCGCTCAATATATAGCATATATTATATAGCATATAATTTTCCTTACATAAATAATATATAGCGTACATATAAACATAATATGTATATATTACATACCATTTAATGTATATACAATATATAGCATGCATTATATAGACTTTCATGTGATTGCAATACATAGCTCACATTATATAAACTTTTTAATAATATGGCAATATATAGCATAAATACATTATAGAGACTTTCTTGTATAAACGGTATATTGCATATATTATATAATGCAATTTTCATATATAGACAATATATAGCATACATTATTGACATTATTATATATCCTGCATTATATAAACTTATGCAAACCGTTTTCATATAGTTTGAAGGAGAGCATTGTGCAAGATGTGAAATATCTAATTTAATATATGAAATAATCAACAGATTGATCAGTTATCAAAATAGTTCCCCCTATTATCAAAATAGTGTTAAGGGCTCAGAAACAGACATTTTTCTATTCAAAGACTCCTGAGATGCTGCTGTCACAATCTTCAGCTGACGTGACCCTCTAGGTGAAGATTCTCAAGTTGTTCATGTTGTTATGGTGTTCATCTGTTTTCTCCAGAGTTCTAAGCTCAGGGTTGACCGTCTTAGTAGTGGTCAGACCGCTTTCCCTCGCCGGGTTGTTTTTGACTCCACCAAGACCTTGAGTACATGTTTTTGTTTGGTGCGTTTCCACCTTCTATGTGTATCTTTGGCCTTCAGAAGCTCACAGCTGGCTCTAAAGATCTGGTTCCACTCTTACACACACATGTACACTCCCACGTACACACAAAATTTTTCTCATGCCTTGGTTTAGTGTAATCTTTGTTTTGGGTTGAAGATGTTGTCTGGTCTGTGGTAGGGATGGACAATGTTGACAAGGACAACCACAGCGCATTCAGAGGAAGTGCAGACTCTTACACAGGTGGTTTGTCTCGCTACCCTTCATTGCTCTACATATTATGGTTGAGTTTTGCAGATGGTCTGCACGTTTTATTCACAGTAACTTTACAGTCTATAAAAAGTATTCGATTTGTTTTATTTAGACATAAAAATATGGTTTTACTTGAGATGATTTTATCCTCGGAAATGCTTTGGCTCTTAGAACACACCAAAAGTGCTGAATCCTCCTGTCCTGAGCTCTTATATATGAGGAAATAACTGAAGGCTGTGGTGCTCTGGTAGTGGTTTACCACTAGAATAGTTCAAACAAACCACATGAAATGCTCCTTTGCTCCCTCTAGAGGCTATGCTTGTAATGAACCCAATGAACTGGAATTCTGCAATAGAATCTGTCTGCAACCTTCAAGCTAGGCCCCTTCAACTTCAGGTTACGCCCACTTCAGGTTACGCCCACTTCAAGTTACGCCCCTTCAAGTTACGCCCACTTCAGGTTACGCCCACTTCAAGTTACGCCCCTTCAAGTTACGCTAACTTCAGGTTACGCCCACTTCAAGTTACGCTAACTTCAGGTTACGCCCACTTCAGGTTACCGTTACGCCCACTTCAAGTTACACCAACTTCAGGTTACCGGTACACCCACTTCAAGTTACGCCAACTTCAGTTTACGCCCACTTCAAATTGCTCACTGTTTTTTTTCGACATAAAGCAGCTCTGCACAGACCGGTCGGTGTATGACATCAAAGTACCGCCAGAGCGATTAGAGAACAGACAGTTCCGTATGCTTTTGAATCGCTCTCGCATGAGTTTAACATAAACTGAACATACTACAGTTGATTAAACTGACTCTTAGCTGTTCAAGAACCGAAATGCTTGTTTTGGTATACAGTAAAGCAAGCTGCAATCTGCATTAGTGCCAGGGTACTGATAATGTATCGCAAGAAACCATATTGCAATGTATTGTTTTATCAATTATTCATCCCACCTCAACTAGAGTGTGGAGCAAGCACTAATATATCCTTTTGGAATTGGGATTTATTTCTTTTTTTTTCTTTTTAATAAATAATTGTAAACATCTTTTTGTATGGTCTTATTGTATGCCTGATTTGCTGATGATAAAATGTTTTGACTGATATACACAGCACTAATGAACAGTTAAATGCACCGCTGACAAACAAATCTTATGATACTTTTGAGACAAATGAACAACAAGCACACCCATAACAAAATCTTTTAATTGAAAGGCAACACAATGAGGGTTTATGCAAACCCAATCTAATATGTTCTGGCACTAATATTGTCTGTTCTGGGCTACTGCTGGAGCATTACATCCAATAGAAAATCAGATCTCAGAAAGTGCCCCCAGCCACATAAAAATAGTAGAATCTAATCCTTGTAGTTTTCCCCTCTGTCCACGTCCCCTGTAGGTTTCACAGTCTTTGTAGACAGAATTGCATTGAATGCAACAGGAGATTAGATACAGAGTTCTGTAGGTCCTTCTATGCTCCTCTGAAAATGTGTTCCAGTTTACCACACCTGTTGACAAAAGAAGAGACGGGTTCATGTGTAAAAAAAAACATGTTCAGATTTTTTTTTTTTAATACAAAATTTTCTGGTAGCAGTGTTTCCTCAGTATTCATTTTAGTTGTGGTGTGCCACCACAGCAAGAAAAATGTGAAATTAAAAGAAACTCATATTGTCTAAACCAAAGCATTAGTCTATTGTAGAAGTAATTATTATATTATGATGATTAAAATAATTTTAGCACTAGAACCTCGACCTGAATCATAACTTAGGCCCAAACATGGACAGATAAAGGACAAATGAGGAATCGTCACTCAAAAGCACCACACCTGCACATAAAATAAAGAGGAAACAGTCATAAACTGGTATAGAAAACAATAAATTAGGCGACATCCATTAGGTGACATCTTACCCATGCATTTACATTTTAATAATGGCAAGTGACCACTCCAGGGCGATCTACTGTGTTGTGTTGCTGACATGTGTGGGACACTCAGCGAGACAGATTGACAAGCTCAAAGTTCCAAATGATTTGCTCTGCCCTTGCTGCAATGTAAAAAGCGGCAATATGACTTATATACTTCGATTTACACGGTTATCTCTGGAAAATATTCTTAACGTTGTCTTTATACGAGCTGGCATCTTGCCGACAACATCTCGTTTTGAGTTTGACACATCGTGTGGTTCTGTGTGATTTGGGCAACTTCAAGTTACGCCCGCTTCCTGTTACGCCCCTCTCTTGCAGTCCGCAGACAGACCCATCTCAAATTTTGTGGCTTGCAGTCCATGCATGCTAGTGTTGTACTCTTTAAAATATGGCCAAAATACCCTTTAGCAAAGATACACATTTAGACTTTGTCTTCTGGTTAAATGCACCAAATACACCACTTTCAATAATTTGGGGTTGGTAAGATTTTTTTAAATGAAAATCTATTGACTGAAAAATACAGTAAAAACATTAATATTTGTGAAACATTCAAACTTAACACTCCAATTTTACTCAAGTCTTCATTGTCGCATGATCCTTCAAAAAACTTCCTAATATGCTGATTTGGTGCTCAAGAAACACTTATTATTATCAATGTTGAAAACAGTTGTGCTGCTTAGTATTTTTGTGGGAACTGTGATCAGGATTCTTTGATGAATAGAAAACGAATGTCTTTTCAAATCAATTTAATGCATCCTTGCCAAATTAAAGTTTGAATAAAAAACAAAACAAAATCTTAGTTGTGTTAAAGGTGATAAGTATTTTTGTCCAATCAAATTCTCTTTCATAATGAGTGTGTTTCTGCTAACAACCTGCTTCAATAGGAAATGTCAACAGAAGGACTTAACCCACCTTTAAGACTGAACCTAAATCTAGACTGACTTCCTTCTCTTTACATGTTTCTGTGTACCCAGGCCATCAAGACAGCGCAGATCTCTGGTGGGCATTGCCAATAGGACCTCCTCTCGTCTTTTCACTACGCCCTCCTCGTTGCCCAATGGCTCTGCCACTCGTAGCCCAGAGGAGGAAGCAGAGGCCAATAAGATTTCACTGATTGTTCATGCCAAAGAGTCAACAGTCATCTCCAGTCTGCGCCATTTCACCAGCTACCAGATAGAAATTCATGCCTGCAACCATGAGAATGACCCAGCTCGCTGCAGTATGGCGGCCTACGTCAGTGCCCGCACCATGCCCGAAGGTGTGGGATTGTAATTTTATGATCTATTATTTCATAGAGTATAGCTATTTTTTATTGGCTATATCCCCTATTGTCATCTGTTTGTTTATGTTTTTTGTACAGAAAAAGCTGATGACATTGTGAGTGTGATAATCTATGAGGTGTCTGAGTACTCTGTACACATCAGGTGGATGGAGCCTAAGGCCCCTAACGGCATGATTATTCTCTATGAAGTCCATTACAAGAGACTGGGAGATACAGAGGTGAGTTGTTCCACTGGATGGAGATCGAAGCCTGCACTCTGCTCCCATGAACACTGGCTGCACTTTTAAACTGATTTTTATCAATCCTGTTGAAATCTCCAAATATCTCCAAATAAACAAGCTTTTTTTTAGCATAATTGCATTAGCTGTGTATTTCTGTAACCATGGAGAAATCCAGCCGGAGACAGTAGTAATGTTCCTAATGCTGTTTTAAAAAAAGCCTCGGGTAAACAAGTGATGATTATATAAAGGTTAATAATTGTTGTAAGCAAAGCAAAACATGATGGTTTTGCACTTAGCGGCACATGCACCTTTTTCGGTTGATGGATTTGAAACACTGTTGTAACTGTTTACACTGACCTATGGCAGTTTCATTAAAGTCTGATGAGTAATATTTATATGTATTAGTGTGAGATGGATTTTAAAAACATGATAAAAACAGAGCCTTTGCCACTGGATAATGGGTGGCTTGAGTCCGATGTGCACTGCAATATGGGTTATCTATCTAACTGCATGCCTTTATGTCTTAGGAGCTGCACCACTGCGTATCCAGGAAGAATTATATTGCAGACGGAGGCTGCAAGCTGAGAGTGGTGCACCCTGGGAACTATACGGTGCGGATCAGAGCAACCTCCCTGGCAGGCAATGGATCATGGACAGAGCCAACACACTTCTATGTTAAGGACCTACGTAAGATGGCTTGTCCATAATGCCTATGAATATTATGTCTTCAGTTATTAAATTATGCATAAGACCCACATAACTGAATTTTGAAAAGGTTTGTGTGTGTATATGTGGAAAAAAGACTAAATATTCACACACAAAGTTTTATTGGACAAATTTCAAAGTTTCAACCTCTTAGTCTTCATTAGGGAAAAATGGTCCAAATGTTACAGTTGTTCAATATGGAAGATGTCATCAGTTAAGGTTTTTTTTTTTTTTTTTTACTATAAATTGGTTTTGTTGTGTGGTCATTTTTATTTGGTTAAGTTTGCTTTGGGTTTTATTTTAATTATTTTTTAAATGTTTTTACAATATATTCATTTGAAACAAAATACTCCTTGGTATTTAAGGCTTCCTATTAATATCAGTATATAGATAATATTTTTTATTTAATCTTGTAATTATTATTTGCTCCATTGTGTACTGCACCTGTACACAACTTGGTTTGAAAGTGCACACCTTTTATATATATATTTTTTCATTGTGTCTATGTGAACAGGTGTGGACCCATCCAACATGCTGAAGATTGTGATTGGTCCGGTGATCTGTGTCGTTTTACTACTTGTGATGGGAAGCGTGGGCTTTTTCATGTTCAAGAAAAAGTAAGTGTCTTGAATTGTGATTGTCATTAAAACTGTAGGAAAGTTTTTTTTTGTGAGGTAAGTAATGAATTTCTTTAATTGTGTGTGTTCATCTGACCAGGCAAACAGAAGGTCCAACTGGGCGACTTTATACCTCCCCAAATCCAGAGTATTTCAGCCCAGATGAGGGTGAGCAATTTTCCTTTCCCTCTGCGTGTGACCTTTGGCTGCAAATGCTGGGGTTGATGCACATTTTAATTTTGTTTTAATAGAAGAGTTGATCACATTAACCATCGATTTAGGCAGATTATCACATTTAAAATGACTTTCTCTTTTGCTTGAGATCTGCTCCATTTCAAATTTGACATTGTGTGTCCTGCATGTCTGTTGTGTTTGTGCAGTGTATGAGCCAGACGAGTGGGAGGTGCCACGTGAAAAGATTAATCTATTGCGAGAGTTAGGCCAGGGATCTTTTGGCATGGTGTATGAGGGCATCGGAAAGGACATAGTTAAAGGCGAGCCACAGTCCTGTGTTGCGGTGAAGACGGTTAACGAGTCGGCCAGCCTCAGAGAGAGGATTGAGTTCCTCAACGAAGCTTCTGTGATGAAGGCATTCAGCTGCCACCATGTGGTAAGACATGGCTCTTGCATGTCAGCCTGCATGTTTTGTAGTCTTATTTGAGTTTTGTTTATATACTGTTTATTATTATTTTTTATATTTTCAGTTTTCATTTCAATTGTAAATTTTAGTACATTTAGTTAGTTAGTTGCCTAGTTTGTTACCTAGGCAACTTTTTTAATCTAATATTTATATTTACACTACGGCTCAAAGGTTTGGAATAATTACGTTTTTGAAAGACATCTCTTATGCTCACCAAGGCTGCATTTATTTGATCAAAAATACAGTAAAACAGTAATACTGTAAAATGTTATTACAATTTAAAATAAGAGTTTTCGATTTCAATATATTTTAAAATGTGATTTATTCCTGTGATATGAAAGCTGAATTTTCAGCATCATTACTCCAGTCTTCAGTCACATGATCCTTCAGAAATCATTCTGATTTGTGTGCTCAATCATTATCAGTTAACTTATTATGTATTATTATTGGTGCTCAAATATTGATAATGGTCCTTATTATTGTCAGTGTCAGCTGCTTTATATTTTTGTGTAAACCGAGGAATACATTTTTCAGGATTCTTAAATGAATTAAAAGATTAAAACAATAGAATTTATTTAAAATAGAAATCTTTTGTGACATTATAAATGTGTTTATTGTCAGTAAAAACAAAAATATGAATCACCTTTTTCAACGTATGCTTTTTCAGGTTTTATTTGAATTACTGAAAATGATTTAATAGTCTTAGGTTTAGTTAACAATAACACTGGTTGGACTTTGACATTTTCTGATATGTATTGTACAGTAACTAACATAATTTTTGTGGGTTAGGTGAGGCTGCTGGGGGTGGTGTCTAAAGGCCAGCCTACTCTAGTGGTGATGGAGCTCATGACACATGGAGATCTGAAGAGTTTCCTGCGTTCTCTCAGACCTGACTCAGAGGTAACAAATCGTACCAGAAGTGTCACTATCAGACTTGCTAGAGCTTTTAGATCCGTTTTAATGAGGTAGAATATTAGATTAGTTTATATTACACATTAAAATCCCCCCAAAAAGGACTGACTTTTTAAATATTGGATTTTTGTTTTACTGTGTTGTTTGATTACTTTGTTACAGAATAACCCAGGTCGGCCTCCTCCAACGCTGAAAGAGATGATTCAAATGGCCGCAGAGATAGCAGATGGCATGGCTTACCTGAACGCCAAGAAGTTTGTGCACCGTGACCTTGCTGCCAGGAACTGCATGGTGGGCGAAGACCTGACCGTAAAAATTGGTGGTACGTAATGTGATAGGGGTATATTTATTTAAAGTTTAAAGGGATAGTTCACCCAAAAATGAAAATTAGCCCATTATTTACTCACCCTCAAGTCATCCTAGGTGTATACAATCGGAGTTTTGTTAAAAAATGTCCTGGCTCTTCCAAGCTTTATAATAGCAGTGAATGGCCATTTCTGTTTTGAATTCCATAAAACTGCATCTATCCATCATAAAAGTGCTCCACACGGCTCTGGGGGGTTAATAAAGGCCTTCTGAAGTGAAGCCATGCGTTTGTGTAGGAAAAATATCCATATTTAACACGTTGCAAATTAAAATTCTAGCTTCAGGCCGAACAGCCATACGCAGTCAACTTATGCCTAAAGCGCAACTTATGTAACTTGTGACATCGGAAGTAGCGTAATGCGTCATGGCGTAGTGTAAATATCAGCAGTATGTCGCATTACTCGCATAAGTTGCGTACTCGCATAAGACTTAAGTGGAATCCGTATGTTCGTTTGGCCGGAAGCTAGTTATTTTACTTTGTAACATGTTAAATATGGATATTTTTCTTACATAAACGCATGGCTTCGCTTCAGAAGGCCTTAATCAACCCCCCGGAGCCGTGCGGAGCACTTTTATGATGGATAGATGCACTTTTATGGACTTCAAAACAGAAACGGACAATCGCTGCCATTATAAAGCTTGGAAGGGCCAGGACATTTTTTTTTATAACTCCGAATGTATTTGTCTGAAAGAAGAATGTCATATTCACCTAGGATGACTTGAGGGTGAGTAAATCATGGGCTAATTAAAATTTTTGGGTGAACTATCCCTTTAAGGAGGTCCTGTCTCTATATTTCCTTTGCAACGGCCTGAGCGATCCTATGTCCTAACATAACTTCCACAGTTTCAGGAGTCAGTATGCTAGTTAGTAGATCCAATAAGCGGTATGATGTAAATGTTCACGTTGGCGACCAAAAGGTCCATCTGAAATTGCATTAAACTCTGAGTAGGTACCACATTTGATGAGAAACAATCTTTTCGTGATTTTTAAAAACAGTATGATCTATTATAGTTATAGTATGGTCTATATAGCATGGCCTAACAGGATATTAAAGTGGACATCAGATATGCACTTCTAATCTCACCGAAATTAGTAGGTCATCTAGGTACTTTACGCCTAATGAGTTCAGACATACTATTCTTTTCACATACTGTTTTTCACATACTGTAGTAGGGAAGTATGCATAGTCGGATGTAGGGATAATACCAATACCAAACAATTAATGTTAAATATTCAAAATTGTCTCTCGAAGGTTGATTTGCCCAGTATAGAGTTAAAAATAATTCAATTAAAATGTATTTGAATAGCTCACATTTTAAGAAAAAGATAATTTAATAATTTAACATTAATAATGTATAAAAATAATGTAATAATATCTAAACAAGTATCTTGTACTAAGTTTTCCTTTATTATAAGTGAACCTGTAAAAAGTAGATATAGATGACTCTAAATGCATTTTCTGTCTACTGTGCATAAGAATCAACACAAGGCAGACACTCTGAACTGATTAATCGTGCCCCACGATTATTATTATTCCTGTAAAAAATACCTTGTTAAAATGTATTTTTTCATAATAGGTGTCGCTTCAGGTGCTTTGTTTTCGTGTGGATGAAAAAACACTGTATAATTATGTCCAGTTATGATAAATGTTTCACTGTCCGGGTGGAACTAGTCTTGGGTCTAGTATGCAAGTTTCTGAAATAAAATAACTGCACAAAGCTAGTAAAATATTCTAGCTATGCCACACAAAAGTGCCAAAATTAGATGCTGAATGCAAGCTCATAATGAAAAAGGAGGTACAAGTGTGGACGAAGCACAGGGATGTGTTGTAGTATGTCTCGTACGTGGATTGAGTCATCTATTATTTTAAGCGCTTTCTAATGGTGTTATTTTGTCTTGTGTTGACTGCTGTCAGATTTTGGCATGACAAGAGACATTTATGAGACGGATTACTACAGAAAGGGTGGGAAGGGCCTGCTTCCTGTGAGATGGATGGCCCCTGAGTCGCTGAAGGATGGAGTCTTCACCGCTCATTCAGACTGCTGGTGAGCCGACCATGTGCACACACACAAACAACTACACAAAGACATGCGTCATTGTTGTAGGAGAATGCTTAGGGTATGTTTTAGTCACTAATGACCCATGTTGTGCTTGTCAAGGTCGTTCGGTGTGGTGTTATGGGAGATCAGTACTCTGGCTGAGCAGCCCTACCAGGGACTGTCCAATGAACAAGTCCTTAAGTTTGTGATGGAGGGAGGATACCTGGACAGACCTGACAATTGCGCAGACAGATTGTGAGTGTATTACTGACATATTGCCCGTGTTAACATCTCAAAGTTGGTGTTTATTTCAATACTTACTTTAGCCTACTGTATCTGGGCTCATAATGGAGGTTTTTTTTTTCTGCTGGTCAGTTGGACCAGTAGTTATAGTAGTCTACTTGCCCTGCCAATATTTTCACCTGCATATTACGAAAGATTAATCTTTTTATATTATTATTTTAAGCTATGCATTTTTTCTGTATTTGCTAGAAATATTTGGATTTTTCTATAAACTTTGTTTTCTTTTCAACATTTTGTTTAATTGTTTTATAATTTTTTTTGTCTTACAAGAAGACAATTAGTAACAAGCTGGAAATTATAGCTATAATTTATCCTCATAAATTGACTTAGAAACTGTTACTGGAATTTTTAAGTTATAGCAAATGAATCCTAGTATAAGAATTTTATAGTCCCTTTTAGGTCATTTAAGATTAAACACATGGTTATTTATTGAAAGGTGAAGAACCACCATCATGCTTTCCTTGTCAAACGCCAATGACTGTTAAACATATTTGACTGGACTGCACTGTTTTTAATGTAAATAGACAATGTTTTAATTCTTAGATGTGTGTAGCTGATATGTGTCACCTGACTGTATTAGACATATTCTCTTATATTAATCTTAAATGTCTTATATAGTTCCCTTTCGAACGGTCACTTCGTATTGCGTAGCTATACGCAGTGGGGAAACTCCCTTTCCTCGATTTACTGAAGCCTATATGTAAAACGCATTTGCAGCTGCACAGCCAGCCCCCTGAGCGTCTGACCCGCTCATAGGCTGTGCTGCAGCAACTGCACATCCAATGGCGCGGGCGAATCTGACGCACAACCAATAAGCTAGCCCAACGTCAGAGCCCGTCGAGGGGGCGTGCCCCGCCTATATAGACCCCCGAATTCGCCATTATAGCAGATTTTACTCCTTCAGCGACAGTACACATGTCCCTGAGCTTTTTACTGTAGCATTCGCCGTCGGACAAGCCTTTCAGCCTGAGCGTGCTTCTCTTCAGCAGACTTCGCCTGCACGTCGATTTCTCCTGACGCCGTCTCACCTGTGGCTATCCGGCGACATTTATATCCTTTGTGCTTATTGCTAACATTCTATTTCAGTATGCCTCGTCCATCCTGCGCCACGTGCGGAGGCCGTCTGCACGAGGCAGACCAGCACACGAGATGCATTTCCTGCCTGGGGATCGACCACGCAGAGAATGCTCTCTCTACCGGCGGATGTGAGGCCTGTGACAGCATGCCTATCTCCGCGCTGCGCAATCGGCTAGCTCTCTCCCGGTACGGCGAGGCCGCTTCATCCACGCTTTCCGTTCCAAGGAAGAAGAAGCGTCGCAGCCAACGGCAACCGGAGGGTATGGAGATTTGTGAACGCACGCCGGCCGCGTCCCTGTGTGCTTCACTTTCTCCGACTCAAACGCCATCACCGGTCCTGTTCGCAGGAGACCAGCGCCCCCCCCCCCCACACGTGGCGGGCCTCGTCTCCTTCGGCGGATCTCTCGAGCGCGACGACAGCTTATCCATCGCCGCTTCTGAGGACGAGAGGACGGGCTCTCTCGACCCCGTCACCGCTTCTCAATCGGTGGCCAGCGGATTAGTGACCAGGACGAACTGACGAAGGCCGTCGCGGACCTCGACCTCGAGTGGGCCTCGCCCGAGGAGCCGCCTCGTAGTCGGCTGGATGGATGGTTTCTGGAGGGGCGCCAGCAGGCCCCGCGTCACAAACCGGCGCCATTTTTCCCCGAGGTCCACGAGGAGCTAACCAAGGCCTGGCGCGCTCCATACTCAGCACGTGTGGGATCCGCAGTTTCCGCGACGCTCTCCTCCGTGGATGGCGCAGCGGAAAAGGGTTATGAGTCTTTGCCGCCCCTCGAAGAGGCCGTGGCAGCTCATCTTTGCCCGAGCTCTGCAGCTAGCTGGCGAGCTAGAGCCGCTCATCCCAACAAACCCTGCCGTAACACCTCAGCCCTCGCTGGACGCGCGTACGCCGCCTCCGGCCAGGCTGCATCGGCCCTGCACACGATGGCCGTGTTGCAGGTCTATCAGGCCAAACTCCTCCGGTCCATGGACGAGGCTGGCCCGGACCCGGAGACTTTTCGGGACCTGAGGAGTGCTACGGACTTAGCGCTGCGTGCTACTAAGTCTACAGCACAAGCCATCGGCAGAAACATGGCTAGTTTGGTCGTGCTCGAGCGCCATCTGTGGCTTAACCTCACCGAGATCAAGGAGGCCGACAAAACGAGGTTTCTCGACGCTCCGGTGTCCAGCTCCGGTCTCTTCGGCCCGGCGGTGAAGGGATTCTCGGAGAGGTACACGGAGGCACAGAAAGCGTCCCAGGCCATGCGACACTTCTTGCCGAAGCGTTCGGGCTCCGCGTCCAGCAAGCCCAAACCTCCGCCTTCGCCTCATCCAGCCAAGCCGGCGAAACAGGCCTCTCAGCCCCGCCCTGCGGCTGATAGCCAGCGCCAGTCAAGGCCCGCGAAGCGCTACCCGCTCCCCAGGCGTCAAGGTCCTCGACCCAGCGCCGCGGCCGACCAGGCGCCTCCGAAGTCGTCCTAGCACGGAGGGGAAAGAGAGAGGGCTCGTGTCTCGCGCTAGCCGGACCACCCTCGAAGAAACCAGCAAAACTTCCCACAGCTCCCTGTTCAGTTCAGGCGGCTGGGGATTTTATTATTGTAAACAGGCCCGCAGCAGTGAGCGCGTCTCTGCAAACAAACGCCGTTTTCACGGCGACCCAAATAAAGCACAAAAAGAGCATGTTTCACAATCACAACCCACGGGTTCACGGTCCCCCTCCACTAGGCGGCCCCCGCCCTGTTGTAACACTGACTTCCCCCCAGGCAAAAGCCTATATAGTCAGTCAAACACTCAGTATGTGCACAAATCACATTATAAGGGTATCAGGTCCCCCTATGTTAGGCGGTCCCCCCCATTCAGTGTGTCACGCCCTAGCCACACGAGTGATGGCCTGGCAAGCCATCCCTGGTGTGTCGAGTTGGGTCATAAACACTATAAAGCGAGGCTACTCGCTCCAATTCGCTCGCAGACCCCCGAAATTCCAGGCGGTTATCGAGACATCGGTGAGAAGCGGCGTGAATCACGTGCTTCGCACCGAAGTTCAAGAATTATTAGCAAAAGGAGCAATAGAGTCAGTCCCTCCCGCGCTAATGTATTCGGGGTTTTACAGCCGCTATTTCCTAATTCCAAAGAAAGACGGCGGGCTCAGACCCATTCTAGATCTGAGGCGTTTGAACAGGGCTCTCATGAGACGGCCTTTCAAAATGTTAACACTCAAACAGATTCTCGCGCAGGTTCGCCCGGGGGACTGGTTTGTTTCAATGGATCTGAAAGATGCATACTTTCATATTCAGATCGACCCTCATCACAGGCCATTTTTGAGATTCGCCTTCGAGGGGAGGGCATATCAGTACACCGTTCTGCCGTTCGGTCTGGCTCTGGCACCCCGTACATTCACGAAATGTATGGATGCGGCGCTCTCCCCGCTGAAAAGCCAGGGAGTGCGTGTGCTGAATTATCTCGACGACTGGCTGGTGCTAGCGCAGTCGAGAGACGAACTAATAGTGCACAGGGATTTGATTCTCAGCCATCTAAAATGCTTGGGTCTCACAATCAATGTTGCCAAAAGCGAACTGAATCCCAGCCAGACTGTGGTCTTTCTGGGCACGGTTTTGGACTCGGTGACAATGAAAGCGCGGCTCACTCAAGAGCGCGCGCTCTCGGTGCAGACACTGGTAGCCGCATTCAGGGCGCGCGAGCGCGCGCCTCTGAAGAGGTTTCAGAGACTGCTTGGTCTAATGGCAGCTGCATCATCAGTACTCCACATGGGATTACTGCACATGCGCCCGCTGCAGCACTGGCTGAAACGCCGTGTGCCAACCCATGCATGGCAGTCAGGCAGCCTGCGCATTATGGTGAATCAAGGGTGTTTGAGAACACTGGTTCCCTGGCGGGCTCAGGACTGGTACTGCAAGGGGGTGACCATGGGGATAGTTTCCAGGAGGAAAGTGTTTTTTACAGACGCATCCAACATGGGTTGGGGAGCGCTGCACGAGGGCAAGCCTGCCTCCGGCCTCTGGTCGAGCACGGAGCAGAGCTTACATATCAACTGTCTGGAAATGAAAGCGGTTGGTTTGGCCCTGAAAGCTTTTCGGTCAAACCTCAGGGGTCACCACGTCTTGATCCGTACAGACAACATGTCTGTGGTGGCCTACATAAATCGCCAGGGTGGCATCAGGTCAGGCAACCTGTATGTGATGGCGAGGGACCTCCTCATGTGGGCACAAGCCAATCTGAGCTCTCTGAGAGCAGCGCATGTCCCGGGCGTCCAGAATGTGGGCGCGGATATGCTCTCAAGGGGCAACACTCCCCTAGGCGAGTGGTCCCTGTACCCTCAGACGGTCAGACTAATATGGGAGAGGTTCGGCGAGGCCGAAGTAGACCTTTTCGCCTCGAGAGCCAACACCCACTGCAGGGTGTTCTTCACGAAAAACAGGGATGCGCTGGCTCATCTCTGGCCCAGCCGCCCCCTTTACGCGTTTCCCCCCGTCTCGATGATCCCACAGGTTATCGAGCGGGTCAGGGAGAGCGGATGCCCAGTCCTTCTGGTGGCTCCTCTCTGGAAATCCAGACCATGGTTTCCGGAACTGGTTCAGTTGTCGGACACGACCCCCTGGCCTGTTCCGATGAGGAAGGATCTCCTCACACAGGCCAACGGAACGATGTGGCATCCCCGACCCGATTTATGGGCCCTCCATGTGTGGCCCCTAAACGGGTATCCGGGGACCTGCCTGACAGGGTCTTAAGCACTATCTCTGAAGCAAGGGCCCCGTCTACTCGGCGCCTTTATGCTTTAAAGTGGTCGGGTTTTTCCAGCTGGTGCTCGAGAAATCGTATTGACCCAGAGTCATGTGAGGTTTCAGTGGTGCTCGCCTTCCTGCAGGAGCTACTGGACGCGGGCCGCACCCCGTCCACGCTCAGTGTATGTGGCAGCCATCGCAGCGCACCATGCTCTGGTGGCTGGCCAATCACTGGGAAGGAATGACCTGGTGGTAAAGTTTCTGAAGGGTGCTAGGAGGATTAACCCCTCCAGGCCCCCTTCGGTGCCGCCTTGGGACCTCTCCACGGTCCTTAGGGCCCTGAGGGGACCACCTTTTGAGCCGCTCCAGTCGGTTGATCTAAAACCACTTTCGCTAAAGACTGCTCTCCTGTTGGCATTGGCATCTATCAAGCGAGTGGGAGATCTGCAGGCCCTCTCAGTGAGTCCTGCATGTTTGGAGTTTGGATTGGATGACTCCAGAGTCATTCTCAAACCCAGGCATGGTTATGTGCCCAAGGTGCTCTCAACGCCGTTTAGAGCACAAGTTATTACGCTATTAGCCCTTCCCCCTTCTGCTGAGGATGGGGAGGTTAATCTTCTCTGCCCTGTCAGGGCGTTGAGAATCTATTTGGAGCGTTCTGCGTCTTTTAGACAATCAGAACAGCTGTTTGTCTGCTTTGGGGGCCGATCTAAGGGTGATCCAGTCACTAAGCAAAGACTGTCTAGATGGATAGTGGATGCCATCTCTTTGGCTTACACCGCAGTGGGTCAGGTTTGCCCCATAGGTGTCAAGGCCCATTCGACCAGAGGTATGGCCTCGTCGTGGGCTTGGTCTTCTGGTTTTCCCATTCAAGATATTTGTGATGCGGCCGGCTGGTCCTCGCCTTCCACATTTATGAAGTTCTATAATATGGAGGTACCTTCCCTGCAGGCGAAGGTGCTTTCGGTATGATTGAGACCTGACAGTGGCTGGTCTTGTCTACAAAAATTACTGTGCATAATCACATACATATTATATAAACCCGCTTCGGCCGGTAATAAAGTTATACTAATAATCCCGACGGGATCTGGTTTTGTTAGTATATTCTGTTAGTGGTGACTGACTTTATGATGTATATTATTCAGACCCGACTGTGTCTGGTCTGTTATATATACATGTATATGCATATGTTATTGGGTTCTGGCTTGTTCTGTTAGCTCAGGGGTCCTGAGTGGCAGGACAACCAGTTACTCAGGGTGCGGCGTTTTGCATGCTGTCCCCACTGCGTATAGCTACGCAATACGAAGTGACCGTTCGAAAGGGAACTACTCGGTTACTATCGTAACCTCAGTTCCCTGAGATAGGGAACGAGTATTGCGTAGCCGGCCGCACTATGGTAACTGGTGAAGTTGTCGCTTCAGTCGTATAAACCTGCTATAATGGCGAATTCGGGGGTCTATATAGGCGGGGCACGCCCCCTCAACGGGCTCTGACGTTTTGGCTAGCTTATTGGTTGTGTGTCAGATTCGCCCGCGCCATTGGATGTGCAGTTGCTGCAGCACAGCCTATGAGCGGGTCAGACGCTCAGGGGGCTGGCTGTGCAGCTGCAAATGCGTTTTACATATAGGCTTCAGTAAATCGAGGAAAGGGAGTTTCCCCACTGCGTATAGCTACGCAATACTCGTTCCCTATCTCAGGGAACTGAGGTTACGATAGTAACCGAGTAGTTTTTTGTTAATTGTATGACTTTTTATTCACTTTGATCTCACCATGAAGATAGCCTTCCTGCTGATATGCCTTTACATATAACATAAAGAAATGTAGTGGAATTTTAAGGAAATCAGTCTTTAACTGACATGTCTCCTGTTTCCTGATCTTCTAGGCATAACCTGATGCAGATGAGTTGGCATTACAATCCCAAAATGAGGCCCAGCTTCCAGGAAATCATCGAGATGCTCCGGGAGGATCTGCATCCCTCGTTTCAGGAGGTCTCCTTCTTCTACAGTGAGGAGAACAAGCCGCCTGAGACGGAAGAGTTTGATATGGACCTGGAGAACATGGAGAGCATCCCGTTGGACCCTTCCTCGTACTCTCAGAGGGAGTGCTGTCTAGATGGGGACGAGGGCTCATCCGTGGGCCTTCGAGGGAGTTATGAGGAGCATTTGCCGTATACGCATATGAATGGCGGCAAGAAAAATGGACGCATCTTATCCCTACCCCGATCTAACCCTTCCTAATATTATTAACCCCATCAAGCTATATTAGAATTTTTTTTTTCTCATCATTTTATAGATTCACTTTTATTGAGCTCTATATCAGAAGCCCTTCAGAAAGGAATCTCAGGACGTTCGTTTTCTTCTTTACTGCCTCAGTATGATGATGATGATACAGGGTGCGGGCTTTTTTTTTTATTTAAAGAAGAAAATACACATTAACTGCTTCTTTTCTGTTTTTTTTTGTTTTGTTTTTTGTTTTTTTATATATATATATATTGCCAAGTTTCAAGAACTGGTCAAATGGAACAAACTGTGAAATTAACCTCAGACAACCAGAAGGCTGCTTTAAACCTTACATCTCCTCAGACTCTCTCCTCATCCACCAACTCTCTCCAGAAAAAGACAAAATATAGATGAAAAAAAAAAAGTGACCTTACTCTGTTTGTGGCCTATGTCATGACAACATGGAGTTGTGTCTGAATCTGTACACTTTTGGCTTTGGTGGCAAACCTGTTGAACTTGGGAACTCTAGGATGACATTTAGTGTCCTTCCAAGAACAAACTGTCTACAGGTACAAGACACTGCTTTTTTACCTGCTACTTAGTATTCCAGACTACACAGAGAGAACGAACAGATTTTTGGACTCTATTTTTTTATTTATTTGCTTGCCTGTGCTCTTTTTCTTCTTTTTCCCCCCTGGTGTTCACACATTTACAGCTGAAGGATATTTAAACTGTTTTCAGGACTTTTGACTAAAAGAGTTCCTCAGATTGACCAATAGTTGCTGCTTTGATATATTTTAGTGGGTATAGATGATGATAAAAGTATATATAAATATATTATTGATGTTTTTGTACATAGTTGATATGTCGTCATTCGAGTTATTGCCGGTTGTAGAAATGTTTTTACATGTTTGTCTCGAATCTTTATTTTTTCTAATCCGAAAATTCTACTAATCATCCTGGACCTCTGATCAGCCAGCAACTCCAAGATGCACAGGAGTATCTACTAGATGCCTTTGGCTTCAGATGTCAAATCTTGATATCAATGGAAATAACTGCTGTAAATAAAGCAGGGAGGTGCATTCAAGAAGAGCGAATAGATGTGTTTCTGTCGTGTTTTTCTTGCGAGTAATTGTGTGAACTTGTGAGTGGTTGTGAGAAAGTCTTTCAAAGCACAGGGCATAGATAGAGGATCGTTTTATCAAAGGAAGTGTTTTACATCAAATTCGCACAATTTGTGCGATAACTAAACTGTGAAGAGACATGTGACAAAAATGCAAGATCATGATAAAATTCATCCCACAAACAGGAAGTTGTCTTTTATTTATATTTAATATAAATCTATCTTTTCAAGTTTAACAATGTCAGCCTAAATGGGACTCTTCGGTCACTGATAAATAATATATAAATAAAATCATTGGATAGAGGCGCAGAATAGAGGACCACCCTATTTCACAAAGATCCACCTTCAACTTAAAGGTGCTATATGGAACTTTTCTTCTAAAATGAATCCTATTTTTATTGCCTGTGTGTGAAGGGGTTGTAATCACACATTACAATGATCCACTTGTCGGGTTTTGCTAATACCTCTGAAGGCCAATATTCATATTTATATGTGAAGTCTCCGGGTCGGATTTACCGCGAAATCAATCGGATGTGACGTGCATGCGCGCTCCCGAGCCGCTCTCCTTATACAGTCTATGCGACCGACGGCACTGCAGCTGACGACATGAGTCTGATAACACCCAAAAACGTCTCTGGTTACTTACGTAACCTATGTTCTCTGAATAGGGAACGAGACGCTGCGGAAAGCGCAGTGGGATATCCTCTGGATGTGCCGATTGCCTGAAGCCCTATAGAATCACGCCAATCCATTGGCTGATGGCGCTCGCGCAAAGCTGGCTCCGCCCCGACGCTCTTACGTCGTAGCATGATGTACGCGCGCGCGCCATCTTCTCCTCAGATTTCTCTGCCGAAAAGAAAAACTGTCGGCAGCGCGAGGAGCTTGGCAGCGAACGCAGCGTCTCGTTCCCTATTCAGAGAACATAGGTTACGTAAGTAACCAGAGACGTTCTCTTTCATAGGTTCACTCAACGCTGCGGAAAGCGCAGTGGGAACGAAATACCAAACTCGCCAAGCTAAGCGCTGCCATAACCGGTACCAGACCAAATAATAACAACCATGATAGGTTCAAGCAGATAGAACCTGGGAACCTGGAGTCATGTCAAGATCCAAATTATAGAACCTCACAAAGGTGTGCGGAGAGGACCAACCTGCCGCCACACAAATGTCTTCCAAGAGGGCCCCTCTAAAGAGAGCTTGAGAGGAAGCCACACTTCTGGTGGAATGCGCTCTGATGCTAAGAGGTGAAGGCAAACCACGCACCTCATAAGCCAGCGAAATAGCGTCCGTTACCCAGTGGGAAATCCTCTGCTTTGATGCTGCAAGCCCGCGGCGGCCAGCACCAAAACATACCAAGAGCTGGTTTGATTTCCTCCAACCGCTTGAGCGATCTACATACAACTTCAAAGAACGGACCGGGCAGAGCAAGTTAAGTTTCCTTTCTTCCTCAGAGGCAAAAGGAGGAGGGTGGAAAGCATTAAGGTTAACAACCTGAGAGCGGAACGCCGTGGAAAGAACCTTGGGTACATACCCCGACCTCGGCCTCAAGGTAACCCTAACCAGGCCAGGAGCGAAGTCCAAGCATGACTCACTAATAGAGAGAGCCTGCAAATCCCCTATCCGCTTCAGTGAAGATAAAGCTAACAAAAGAGCAACCTTAAGAGTCAGAATCCGCTCAGGAGCTGACTCCAAGGGCTCGAAGGGAGCCTCTGTCAAACCCTCCAGGACGACTGACAGGTCCCACGAGGGAACACTAGGGGGGCGAGCCGGTTTCAGGCGCCTAACCCCACGCATGAAGGCCGAAACTAACCTCAGCTTCCCCAAGGGAATCTCATCCGATTCTCTATGAGCAGCAATAGCTGCGACATACACTCTGAGAGTGGTAGCGGCCGCTCCGGAAGCAAACTTTTCCTGCAGGAATTCCAGCACTGAGCCTACTGGGCAGCTAACTGGGTTCCTATCATGTGCTAAGCACCACGCCTCGAACACCCTCCACTTGGAGGAATATAGCCTCCTCGTCGAAGGGGCTCTAGCATTCGCAATAGTCTCCTGAACGTCGGTTGGGAGATCAAAGCTTAAAGCTAACGGCCTCTGATAGGCCAAACGTACAGCTTCCAAATGTCGGGGCGAGGATGCCATATCCTGCCCTGAAGCTGGGAAAGCAGGTCCTCCCTGACCGGTATCTCCCAGGGGGAGGATTCCAACAGAGGGATCAGCTCCGAAAACCATGGCTGGGACGGCCAGAATGGGGCTACCAGAAGGAGGCGGACTCCGCTCTCCCTCACTCTGGACAGAACCGCCTGGATCAGCTTGATGGGCGGGAAGGCATAGAGTTTCTGCATCGGCCAAGGGTGGGCGAACGCATCTATCCCCAATGGAGCTGGAGGGCTCAGAGAGAACCAAAGCGGGCATTGGGACGACTCCTGAGATGCAAAGAGGTCCACTTCCGCTTTTCCGAACACCTCCCAGATCAGGGCCACCGACTGGCGGTTCAACATCCATTCCCCAGACCTGAGCTTCTGCCTCGACAGAAAATCTGCTGCGAGGTTCAGAATCCCTGGGACATGAACTGCTCTCAGAGAGAGGAACTTGTCCTGGGACCACAGGAGAAGGTGACGCGCATGCCTGTCTAGGGTGCGCGATCGTGAACCCCCCTGTCTGTTTACATGGGACACTACTGCCATATTGTCCATTCTGACAATGACATGGTGTCCTTCGAGGAAAGGGAGAAAGTGGCAAAGAGCCAGGAAGACAGCCCTCAGCTCCAAGCTGTTTATGTGCCACGAGAGGGTCTCGCCAGTCCAAACCCCACACGCTGGCCTGCCCTCGAAAACCGCTCCCCAGCCGGTCAGAGAGGCATCCGTCGTAACCATCTGGCGACGGAATACCGCACCCATACCGACTCCTTTCTGAAGGAAGAGGGGGTCCCGCCAGATTGACAGGGCGCGAAAGCAACTGCGCGACACCTTCAATAGGCGAAAGGCTGGCCCCGTGGGCCGAGCCCCTGAGAGCTTCATCCACCACAGAAAAGGTCTCATGTGGAGCAGCCCCAGAGGTAGCACAGGGGAGGCCGCGGCCATAAGGCCCAGAAGTCTGCGGCAGGTGCTCACGGAAACATGCTGGCCTAGTGCGAAACGGGACAGACATGTCACCAGACTGGAAATCCGTGCAGGAGCCAAACGGGCCTGCATAAGAACGGAGTCCATGCATACCCCCAAGAAAACCGTGTTCTGAGCTGGAGTAAGAACGCTCTTCTCCGTATTCAGCCTCAAACCGAGAGACTGAATATGACGGAGGACAATGTCCCTGTGGTGAGTCACCAACTCTCTGGAGTGGGCTAAAAGGAGCCAATCGTCCAGGTAGTTGAGTATATGGATGCCCTGGAGCCGCAGCGGGGCCAGAGCAGCATCCATACACTTTGAGAACGTCCTTGGCGCTAGAGCGAGGCCAAAGGGGAGGACCCTGTACTGGTACGCTTTCCCTCCAAAGGCGAACCTGAGGAACTTCCTGTGTCGCCGTACGACCTGGATGTGGAAATAAGCATCCTTGAGGTCTACCGTCACGAACCAGTCCCCCCGCCGGATATGAGATATGATGGCCTTCAGCGTCAACATTTTGAATTTTCCTTTGTAAAGAGAGAAATTCAACCGGCGAAGATCTAGTATCGGCCGCAGGCCGCCCCCCTTCTTCGGGACCAGGAAGTAACGGCTGTAGAAGCCCTGTTCGACTTCCCCCGAAGGAATCTCTTCTATCGCCCCCTTCAGCAGAAGGGATGAAATCTCCTGCTGTAGTACAGAAGCCTGAGCGGCGCTGTCGACTACAGTAGGAAAGACCCCGTTGAAGCAGGGGGGGTTGCGACAAAACTGAAGCGTGTAGCCGAGCCGAACTGTGCGAAGGATCCAAGGCGATACCCCTGGTAAACGCTCCCATTCTTGAACGAAATGTGATAGAGGCAGAGGAGTGTTGCAGTGCAAGGGACATACCTGAGGTAGGGTGTCGCGCTGGTTTCCATGGGGAGGCGCGGTTGACCGTGGAGGAGAGCGCTTGGCGTCCTGACACGTATTGGGGGGTACCACCACCTGGATAGAAGTAACTGGGTCCGCCTGCTCCAGAGGAAAAAGAACTGTGCCTCTGAGGAAGCGATTGGCGGGTGTAACGTGCACCGGGAGCGAGGGGAGAAAGCAAGATGCGTCTCCTTCCTCCTGCGCCGGACTGGGTGAAGAGAGTGAAACAGGACCTGCACTTCGAAACACGCTGGGTGGCGAAGGTGACAGGGTTGGATGAGGAGAGCCGGCTGGAGGAGGGCAGAAACGCTTGCGCGGTCTGTCCCAACCTCGTAGATCTGATGAGGCTCTCCTCCTCCTGCCCTGCGGGTCAGGAACGGCTCGAGGAGGCTGGAGCGGCCGATTTGTTGGACCGCTTCAGCTGAAGGCGCTTGTGAGGGCGCTGACGAGGAAATGAACGACCTCGGGCTCCCCAGACAGTAGTTGGTGGGTGGCGAGCCGGGTCACTCCTGCTAGTAGGGAACTCAGCCCTATGAGCAGAGCGTTCTCGGGTTTGAGAAGGGGGAGGGTTGGAGTCACTGGGCCCTCTGACCCTCCTGGGCATAAACTGCCTGAACGCGGCCGACTGAGACTTAGCGGCGCGGAACTTGTCAACCACCGTGTTGACCGCCTCCCCGAAAAGACCTGAGTGGGAGATAGGGGCATCCAGGAGGAAACTCTTATCCTTGTCTCGGATCTCCGTGAGATTCAACCAGAGGTGGCGCTCTGCAGCAACCGAGCCCGCCATAGAGCGACCTACAGCCCGAGCAGTGTGCTTGGTGGCTCTTAGGGCCAGATCTGTGGCTTTGTGAAGCTCTTTGACAGCTTCGGGCGTCAGTCCCTCTCCTTCATCCATGTCCTTCAAGACGTCCGCTTGGTAGGCTTGAAGGATGGCCATGGTATGCAGGGCCATGCCTGCCTGACCAGCCGCCATGTAAGACTTCCCAATAAGGGAGGAAGTAGTCCTACAAGCCTTGGAAGGAAGAAGGGGACGCGCCTTCCAAGACGGTGCAGACGACGGGGCGAGGTGGTTAGCCAGCGTGTCCTCGACCGCTGGAATAGCGGAATAACCCTGCTCCACAAAACCAACAAGGTTGGTGAAGTCAGCGGCTGCCGCATTAGTTAGGCGTGCGGAGAATGGCTGCTTCCAGGATCTGGAGATCTCGTGATGCAGATCGCTGAAAAAGGGCAGCTTTCTTCGCTCTGGCCTAGAATTAGGGCCACGTAGGAACCTCTCGTCGAGTTTGGACGATTGAGACCTGGGGGCTCATCAGGCCAGTCAATAGAGAGCTTCTCTGTAGCGCGCGACAGCACCTCAATAAGCTCAGTGTAGGCCGGAGTAGGCCGCGCGTCCTGGCCGCTAGGCGGGATAACGTCATCAGCCAAAGCAGGCCCGAAATCCTCGGAGTCGGAGGCTGCAGTGTAAATAACGTCATCCAGACCGAAAGAAACCGATTCGCGGGCTCCCGGGCTGGGACATAAATAATCATGCGCGAATTCAACCGCGCCGCGTGCGTGCTCGGGAGAGGGAGGGAGAGAAAGGGCGAGGCCCGTCTGCTCATACTCAATATCCTCGAGCTCAACATCCGAACCCCAGGCCGCGGATCCACGAGAGGCCTCAGCAGTCTCGGGAGCGCGACGGGGGGAAACGAATGTCTCCTTCTCAAAAACCGCGAGTCTAGAGCGGAGGGTTTTGAGAAGGAGATTGTCACAAAATTTACATTTCGACAATCCTAATACAGCCTCACGCGCATGCGAAAAACCCATACATTTAACACACTTACTGTGAGGGTCGTCGTTCGAGATAAAACGAACGCATGGCGGAGAGCAGCGTCGATAATCCATGACACTTCACTGTAAGGAGAACAGAGTTCCACTTATACCAGTCGCTGAAGTGTCGAGACGAAAGCTGAAGTTGAATTGAAGAATTCGGGCTCAGAAAAACCGCACGAAGGGCGAGATGTGACCGCTTCGTGAAGGCAGAGAAATCTGAGGAGAAGATGGCGCGCGCGCGTACATCATGCTACGACGTAAGAGCGTCGGGGCGGAGCCAGCTTTGCGCGAGCGCCATCAGCCAATGGATTGGCGTGATTCTATAGGGCTTCAGGCAATCGGCACATCCAGAGGATATCCCACTGCGCTTTCCGCAGCGTTGAGTGAACCTATGAAAGAGAACGACCTGCCTCCAGCACAACACACACTCCAACACTAACTCCACATAAATATAAAAAAACAAAAAGTTTTATCTGCTGAAGCTCGTCAGGCCAAACGTGATTCTGATCGACTCAGGACGAAAACACGGATCAACATAGACAGAGCTTTTGAATTATTAGTAAACTCAAATGAAATAGCAAGGTAAACTACATGAGACATGGAATGAATACAAAAGACTGTTCCAGGATAAGAAAAGGTGCTTTAAGATACTTGTTTTATGTACTAGATCTACGTTATAGATCGTTACACTATAACGTAATTCATCCCACTATCATATTGTTTATAATAAACATTTCCAGACACGTTCAGTACAGTAATGTTACTTCCTACTGTCTTGTTACACTGACATTGTTCAGTCTAGTTCACTAACCATTTTCGTTATCATTATTATACATTCACCTAATATGGTGACATTGTTGATTGTGAAAGATACACGAATAGTTAGTGAAATGCCGTAGGCTATGCTAGATAACATCACATGTCGGCTAAATGCAGTCAATGTCACGTAACGTTATCATGGTACGAGCATGGAGCGTTAGTTCAACGTCAAGCTAATAAAAGTATCCTATTATTGTAACGTTGCAGTGGGAGTTTACATGAGTTTCCAGCATGTTGTGTGATGCTTTCGCCGTTGCGTTGAAAGTCTCCGTGTGGCCTGTAGTGAATGCTCGCTCCTGAGATCGCACACGCACACGAGCACGAGCGCTCTTGTTGCAATCTGAAACATCACCACTAGAGGCCGCTAAAAGTTCCGTAGAGCACCTTTAAGTGATGTTCGACTTCACCACTAGGAATGCTAATTGGAATGCGCTTTATAGTTTCTGTAAGAGCAAAGCATTTGAGTAACACCAAGTGTTAAAGCTCCAATGTTGTTGTTTTTTAAACTATCTGAATGTCACCTCGGTGGAAACGCATTCATTCAGTAAAACTTCACTTTACACAGTATATATTTTCAATTTTTTAAATATATGTTTTTTTACTTTTTAAGTAAACCATCCAGTATTAAAATAACTTTATTTCCTCTTCTACCCAGTTAAAGTCTCCAACTTCTAAGGCTCCTCAGATTTTTTTTATAAGGGATTAATTTCTCCTGTTCTCCACATTATTGTGTCTCCTCCTTACACTCCTGCACCTGACAGGATAGCGGATCGGGCTCCACAGGTCCCGAATTCTTGGGACTGGCCTCTCATCTTCACCCCAGTCTATTACTTCGTCCCACGAGTCCCACGACATCCAGTAGTCGTCGTCGGTCCATGAGGAGGAGACGGAGAAGTTTTCGCCGTGGTGGAGGGACATTTCACCAGCCGCCCTCAGGTCTGTCTGGCGTGCTTCAATCTCCTCTTCCCCACTATCCTGCCTGTCCCAGGCGCCAAGATAATGCCAAGAGACGGCAGATTTCGGATAGAGGGTTGACACCTTCACCGGAAGACTCGGAACTGAGGCGCTTTTTGTTGCTTTGCTATCCATTGCTAGCTTTACACTTGACAACTGCATGTATCAAGAGGAGATGTGAGCGGTCTGACAGTGGCCAGAGCAGGTTCTGTGGAATGCAGTGATGTCACTGTGCCATAATATGGACTGCAAAGTTCCATTGTCATTAAAAATTTAAAGTTAATTACTGCGAGTTATTTTCTCTTATAGGCCTAGGCTACTTGACCTCACCTCACACATGTCCTTTTTTTTCGATTTATTTCTATTTTCTCCCCTTTATTTTCTCCCCTTTATCCCAATCCACTTCTTTTACTGTCTTGTTTACTTCAGGAAATCTAAATCTAGTTGTCTTGTTGCTGAAATTTTGAACACAGGTGAGGCAGGGTTATTATAGATTAAAACTCAAATCTTAAAAAATACTTTAAATAAAATAGCCTAAACGTTAACTAAAATATAAAAAACTAAACTTATCATTTCCTTCATTTTCACCTGATGTACTAAAATAACTTGCACTAGGCCTAATCTGAAGAAAAAAAAAACTATAGACATTAAAAAACTTTTTTATTATTAAAAACACAACAAAATTACTAAATCTTAAAACCAATTTAATCAAATAAAAACTAATTTAAAATATGAATAAAAATTATAATAGAATTAAAGTTATACTAAAATAACATTGGTGTGAAGCTGTGAACTGTGAAGAAAAGGAGGAGTGCTGCTGGATGTGTGAACAAACCCCGCCGCCTTCTGTTCTGTTCCCGTCATGCCCCGAGTGAAGCAACGCTGAAGTGTGTGCCTGAGTGCGTGCGCGAGTGTGTGTGTGAGGACCATAGACGGTGAGGACACAACCATCGTTCCTGTATATGTGTCCACTGCACTTGTTGTTACCGGTGTGGTGGATGCTTAAGAAAAGAAACTGTGTCGAAAAAAGAAGATAAGATAGGAAAGAAAAGAAAAGAAACTGTCCCGAAAAAAAGTGGATAGGATATTATGTGATGTTTCTTTAAAAATGGTAAGTAGAAACTTTTGTAGCTAAAGTTTGCGCGAGCCTCTTTGTGTTTAAAGTTTGTCATCGAGGCCTCGTGTTATTTAATTGGCGTTGTGGTTTATAGTTTACAGAACATGTATTCTCATTTCTAAATCATCTTTTTGACTTTGTTTAGAGATATACGACGTATTTTAAGGGCTACTTTTAGAGTTTTTCGTGGCCTATCATTCATTTATCTTCGCGGCTGTTCTTGAGAGGAGTGTGGCGTATACCAGTAGCTGGAAAAGTTTCGCCGTGATTTCACTTTAGGATTAATAATGGTGTCTCTTCTGAAATAACCATCATGTGTTTGTTTTTTTATTATTTTATTTAATTTTTAGCAGAGCATGGCATGTTTATTGTTGCGAGTAGATGTGGTCAATGAAACCATGTCATGTTTATGATCTGTTGATTGCTCTGTTTACACCTCTGGTCTGATGATGAGTAATGAAGGATGGGTTATCTTTTCGACCATTACATTCCTCGAAATCTGTCTCTTGATTAATGCCTCATTCGCTCATGATACTAGTTTCACCAGTGTCAGATCTGTAGAAAAGCTGAGTGAGGTTGGTTTGTGGTCCTGGTATTTAGTGTTTGTAATATAATCAGACTTTTCCTCCCCTGTGTTCTAGATACTTTTACTTAATCCAGCAGTGACTAGAATCTTTTCAGTTTCACTAATAACGTTTCATACCTCATACTGGCATCTGTTCAATTAGTCACTTTCATTACGTTTTGGTAATAATGATTCTTTTGTAATACTGCCTTGGTTGTGATGCTTAACTATTATTGCAACATCAAGAAATAGCAAATGCTAATTGTGGTTCAGATGTCAACTATTAATTTCCGACTAGTATGTTTTCCATTTGTTCATGGTACCAATTTGATTACTTTAGCTACTTGTAACTATTCAACTAGTTACTAGGATATATTTTTGTTTCCCTGCAGTAAATATTTAGACAATGGTGACTTATCTCTTTATAGACACGTGTGTATTCCAGTTGTTTGTAGTAATCTTTAAACTTTTTTTCTTATAGGGACATTTTAATTTAACTATAAAGTCGGCATTGATATACCAATATAGTTTTTTATGGTTTTAGTTAACTATAATAACCCTGACTAGTCATTAAAAATGACAAAGTAAAAAAAAGAAAAAAGTGAACCTAGTGTCTCATAAATAAGTAATAGTATCTAATAAATCACCAGAAAATCAGGAATAGATACTACCTACTATTAGGATAGTTAGTAGAAGAAAGAAGTAACCTACTAGTATTGAACAAGAGCTTGTGTCTGAAGTAATACGACCCGTCACTCATACTGATAATTAAAATGAATAAATAAGAAATTAAGTACTAGTAACATATAAATGTATACTATTTACAACTATTAGTATGTTACAGCTTAATAAACCTACAGCTTTCAATATAACATGTTAAAATTAAACTGCTACTCGGCCAGTCTGTCCCTTTGCTCTGATCAAGAGCCCAACAAATTCAGCTGAGAAAAACTAGAATCTCAAAAAAGCTTGTCTTAGACTAGCAATAAAAGGTCAGCATCTTTTAAGGTTATGTGTAATCTGTAGCTTATCTGTTTTTGCGTGTGTGTGTGTGTGTGAGTGAAACAGAGACTTTCTGTATTTTATCTGGCCTGTTGATGTGTGAGAGGGGGAGGTTAGCTTCATGGTCATAGCCAGTTTGCAAGCCAGGCATTTTTCACACAGTAACAGAACTAGTAAATCAGTTACAGCATGTGTAAACAAGAAATTCTCGCATTTTGCAGCTGCTGAATCCATTATCACACTATGAAAACTAGAGCGAACCAGTTAATATTTATGTAACCATTGCCCTCCCGCTGTTTTAGTTCAAAACGGCAGTTTTTAGTTTATAAGATAGCCTAAACAATGATGGTGGAGGTGTCAAATTTTGTGTGTCTTATTCTAAATGTAAATGAAGGAGGGCGTTTGTTGTTTCTACTCTCTGCTGCAGACTGGAGCAGCCTGCTTTTCTTGTTTGACCGATAAGGATAAACCTTAGCCTCATTTCACTTGGCTATATTATTCATGAATCATCTCAATCCAGCGGATGATTCAGGGGAGGTGCAGCCTGCAGCAGAAGTTATCATTCAGCTAGAATAGTACAGTAATGAAACCACCCGCAGGAAATGGCAATTACATGCTGAGGGCAGGTCTGAGTATTATTTTAGTGTGACTCTGTTTATGCAATGATCCTTCTTGGTCCTCCAGCAATTTGAAGTGCAAAGTCAGTGCCTTTAACCGCCATTCATCAAGGTGCAGCTGAATTTGGGTATGAAATGTGCATCCTAGTCAGCATCCTTCTCCTCATAATGAAGCACTAGTCATGCGTTTATGCCATAAATAAAAGACAAGCAAACTAGAAGAGCAAACCTGCCCATAAACTTTATGGGCAGGTTTGCTCTTCTCGTTTGCTTGTCTTTTATTTAGCCTTCATGCACTTTACACATGCTAGTCTTTATGAATGAATGTACTGTTTGAATAGCAGCACACACATTGTTCGAGTGCTATTAAGCATTGTTAGTGTGCTCACAAGGTGTATCATGCCTTTCTTGAGGATGGAGTTGTTTGCCATTGTAACAGCTGAGTGCTGTACAACTGTCAAATTCATAAGTTGAACAAGGTAATTGTTTTTTTTTATATTAAAACAGTTTTTCCCATCACAACTTAATATGACAACAATAAAATTATAAGGTAGTTCACATAAAATTGCAACAGAAGAGAAGATATTGAAGAATGTCTTTTTTTCTTCATATAGTGGAATTCAGTGGAGGCCAGTGTAGTTTTAGATCTTGATCTTCTTGTTCTACATAAGGAAAACATATATATATATATATATATTAGTCTTGTGTCTTTTCTATGTTTTTGCTTGGTTATTTTCAGAATTAAGCCTTTGAGCAGTTGACATGCCATCACATGGTGTCCTGCACTGTCATCCAATACTTCATCTAAAACTATTTTAAGCAGCATTTTTTTCTAATTATTATTAATTAAATTGCCATTTTTATGACCTTTATAATAATTAACAAACTACATGGAATTTTTGTATGTTTGAAAAGTCTCATACCTCACTTTCAGACTAATTCTGAGGTGGACTGCAAACATGCTTAAAGTCGTCATGAAATCAAATTTTACCATTCGTATTTTTATATGTAATATTGTAGTGTTTATTATAAATGATTTATCTGTGCACTTCATTATTTTTTTTAAATTCATGTACCCTTATAATCTTTAATCAAATACGTTACCCTTCCCCCCCCCCTCGAAACGACTTCTCTTCCGGTCAAAAACTATTACTAGAGGGTGTGGCTATAGAGTGCCGAAGTTACGATGTCACTCTGCAGGCCAAAACGCGGAAGTGAGTTAGCATTTTACTTTAGCACTCCCGGTTCCCTCGCTCTAAAGTCTATGGGATTTTTGAATGGGTTTTTGCTAAATCGCCTGACATAAGGTCTGTGGTGAATAAAGCCTCTAAATATTTTCACGTTTTGATCTATGACATCGAACACACAGTTATAACCTGCTTGTGGTTTTTTAAACTTTATTGTGTCTGCTTGTGTTTTTTAAAAACTTGATATAGGCTTCCAAATGTATACATTTTGGATTAACTTGTAAAGATTATCTTGATAGACAAAACGGGTAAGGGTCACAACTCTTTGTTAAACACAGATCTTATTTTTTGCGATTTTCCAAAAGTCTATGGGGAAAATGCATAGCTTTTCGATCGAGGGAACCCATGCGCCGCTAGCTTCCGAGTTGTCCTGCAAAGTGACGTCATCACTTCGGCACTCTATTGGGGTCTGTCTCGTTTCTGGCCTGCCTCTCAGAAACCTGTCAGTGTCACTGACAGCCAGCAAATATGGTGCTTAGGTGCATTTTTGGTTGCGCTCCTCACGTCCTCTTTGTTATCCCTAAACAACCTCGTCTGCGTGCCCGCTGGCTCGAATTCCTGCATTTTGAAGGAGGAGGAATAACGGCGAGTTCGCGTCTGTGTGCAAGGCATTTTACTGAAGAATGTTTTAAGAATTTGGTACGATATAAAATGGGATGCTCTCGAGGGTGTACTTGACTATCATCCGCCTCATCTTGGTTCGCGGGAGGCTCATATAAATATGGGGTGATTCCTTCCGGAAAATTTGGCTGCTCGTCCTCGTTCTCATCGTCGGGTTTCTTCCTCAATTAAAAATTCTTCATGGGAGGGTAACGGTGGAGAGAAATCCTCCACAACTGACTGTAAACTGGCATTCAAATCTGCCTCCATTTTGTTAGCAACGCCCAACCTCCAACGATCCAATCAATTCCCGAAGGACGAAATCAAGCCCCGGCCTACATTTTTTTTTTTTTCTAATTTCAGAAGCCGTTTCACTCAGATACAAGTCTCAATAAGGAAAAAAAAAAAGGACAATCTCATCTTTCGTTTCATGACGACTTTAAATGTGATTAAAATGGTGACCCAACAAAGCATCTTTTAATGTGTGCCTTTTATATAGATCTGTATATCTTAACCTAAAACTAGATGTTGTAAAACAAAAGCAAGTTGCCGTTCGAAAGTTTGGGCTCAGTAAGGCCCCAAATCCAGTGTGAACGGCACAAACCACATGGAATCAGATCCTTTCAAATCAGATTTGGGCCACTTCCATATGTGGTCCTTAATCCGATACAGGTCAGATGTTTTGCTATGCGACCTCAGTCTGAACTCTGAACAGTCATAACGTAATTCATGCGACTTTAATGTCACTAGTCTAGAGCAACATTCATCTCAATTCAGCACTCCTGGGAGTCACTTAAAGTCCCTGTAAAGGCAATTTCAAAAAAAAAATTCTAAACACATTATAAATGTTAGAAATGTATTGCTAAAACATATTACAAAGACTGTGAACTGTGAAGTACTGAATTGTGAAGTTAGACCGTTAAACAGTTTTTCACCATTTCTATTTTCCGGATTTTCTGGGCG